CTGAGACTGCCTTTTCACAGTTTTACACAATACGGGCACCAACTTATTAAAAGCACAACAACGTTCAATTGTCTATGACTTTCTGTGTGTTTTTGTTGGTTCCTTTCTCCTCCTGGTCTCCTCCCACTGATTGCCACACTAGGAATCAAGTTGCAATTCTCCACGGAAAGAATCCGAATGCAATCCTCCGCAGACAGGGATCGTATTGCAGTTTTCCACAAAAGGATCAGAATCCAACCTTCCAGAGAAGAAAGAGAGAGTGAGAGAGAGAAAGGAAGAAATGAAGAAATAAAGAGATACACAACAAAAATAAAACACAAAAACGAGAGAGGAAGGGCGACAAGAGCCATGTGAAGGCACAGAAGCAAGTGAGCGAGCAAGAAGAGAATCCCACCAGCCCTCTGGGCGTAGGTAGTCTAGGGAGTTTCCTCTTCCAACCCCTTTCTTCCCCTTCGGGGAGGGGCGCACCTCGCCCAAACGCCGCGCACCTGGGGTCGGCGTTGGTTCCCAGTAGCTGCCCATCCAAAGACGACCGCTAACCATGTTCAGGCTCGGGTGTTACTTGTGTAGGGAGGGCGGGTGGGAGTGAGCTCGACGGCTTGCGGGCGGGTGGGTACCTTGATCACTGCTCCCGATTAATAAACACTCCCTCCCCCTCCTGGCCGGCAGCCAACCCAGAACCAAGCGGGCCCCCCCCCACCCGGGTCAAAAGACAATACAAAATTCACATTGCGGGGCCCACCCTGCCAACACCCTCCACAACCCCTGTCAAGAAACAATGCGATGCACATTGCAGCAAAATCTGGACAGTGCGCTGGCGCCCTGTGAGCACTCTGTATTGTTTTTTGACAGGAATGGCGGGGCACCCTTAGTGAAGCCGCTTTGTGCAGGACCACCATCCGTGTCAAAAACACTGCAAACTGCACGTTGCGACAACGTCGTGGGTATTGTGCTGGCCGCCCGCGATCACTTTGTATCCGTTGTTTTTGACAGGGGCGGCGGTGGTGCCCGCATCATGATGCTTGCTGTGCGAAGGCCCAGAACAAGGCTGACGCCCCCCACATCAGCATCTGGACCACGCGGGTGGGGGGCTTCACGGTTTTTTTGAAGGATGGCACACCAACCGCATGTGGAGCCCGCGGCGAGCGTCGCGCACCTGGCGTCCGCTTTGATTCCCAGCGGCTATCCATCCAGTGGCGACTCCTGGCTATGCCGAGATTCGGATGCCACTTATGCGGCGGGAGGGCGGTTGGGAGTGAGCTAGACGGCTTGCGTGCGGAGAGGGTGCCTTGATCACTGTTCCCTACTAATATATACCCCCTCCCCCAGGCGACCGGGAGCCAACCCAGGTCCATGCGGGCCCCCCCCGACCATCCCTTTGTAAAAAAATACAGAACACACTCTGCCCCCACCATCCCTTGTCAAAAACCATACGATACGCACTCTGTCTCCAAATTCGGAGCATGCGCAGCGAACCCGATGCGGCCTCCACCCACCATCCCTGTCGAAAAAAACAATACCGAGTACACTTGGCGGCGGTGGCGGCGGCTGCGGCGGCTGCGGCGGGGGCAGCGGCTGCGGCGGCTGCGGCGGGGCGGCGGCGGGGCGGCGGCGGCGGCGGCGCGGCAGCGGTGGCGGCAGCGACTGCGGCGGCAGCGGCTGCGGCAGCGGCGATTTGGCAGTGGGGCGGCGGCGGCGGCGGCGGCGGGCAACGCGGTGGCGCGGCAGCGGCGGACAGCGGCGGCGGCGGCGGCGGCGCGGCGCCGGCGGCGGCGGCGGCGGGCGGCGGCGGCGGCGGAGGCGGCGGCGGCGGCGGCGGATTGGCCCCCAGTAGCTCGCCATCCAAAGACGACTGCTGCATATGCTGCGGCTCGGGCCAGGCTCGGGTGCTACGTATGTGTTGGGAGGGCGGGTCGGAGTGAGCGAGACGGCTTGCGGGCGGGGAGGGAGACTCTTGACCCCTCCCGCATACCTTTTCCCCTGGACTTGGACGGGCGGTGCCGCGACCCATTGGGGCGTCCAAAACGGCCTCGGCGAGGAAGCCAAAATCATTGGTTGTACTAGGGTTTGGGCCCCATGTTGGCCTCTTGGGGAGGGGGGTAACGCTAATTGGGAATCTTGTTTGATCGATGGCCTCCAAGATGGCCCGAAGAGCGCCCCTAAAGCCCCCAAGAGCGCCCCAGAGGGCCCCAAGAGGCGCCCAGACGGCCCCAAGAGGCCTCCAAGAGGCTCCCAAGAGACCCCCAAGAGGCCCCCAAAAGGCTTCAAGAGGACCCCCGAAGCCCCAAAGATGCCCCCCAGACGCTCCAAGAGGCCTCCCCGAGGCACCCAAGACGCCCAAGAGCCGTCTAGGACCGCCAAGAGACTCGCAAGACGTCCTCAGAGGCCACCAATAAGCGCCCAAGTGATATCCCAAGAGGCTCCGCGAGGCATCCAAGAGACCTCCGGCCCCTTTGCTCGCCCTCCTCCTCCTACTCCTCCTTCCTCCTACTCGTTCTCTTCCTCCTCCTCCTCCTCCTCCTCCTCCTCCTCCTCCTCATCATCATCATCATCATCATCATCATCATCATCATCATCATCATCATCATCATCATCATCATCATCACCATCATCATCATCATCATCATCATCATCAGCAGCATCAGCATCATCATCAGCATCAGCATCACCATCATCATCATCAGCATGATCATCATCATCATCATCATAATCATCATCATCATCATAATCATCATCATCATCAGCATCAGCATCATCATCATCACCACCATATCCATATTTCTTCTCCCCACTCCCTCATCCATCGATCCAGCCTCCTTCTTCTCCTCTTCACGGTTCGGCCATCCACCTCTTTGCTCCCGCGCTTCCCTGATCACCTCAACTCGCCTGGACATCATTTCTGGATGGGCTGGCGCGGATACTTCTTTGCTCGCGAGCGCAAGCGGGAGAGCCGCGCGCCGTCAGGAAAGCTGGTGGGGATACTTTTTGCTCGCGAGCGACGCAGGCAGCTGCGCGCCGTCCAAAGAGGTCACAAAGCGAAAGTCAGGCACGGCGCAATCGACGCCGGCGACGCGCGGGAAAATATACACGCGAAGCACAGAGGCAACGCGGCAGAGGCGGGAGCGAGCGAAGACAGGAAGAAGGAGAACGAGGGGCGAAAGAGACACGGCAAAGAAGACGGGCGCGCAGGAGATCAGGCTCAAGCGACGACGAGGACGAAGCACCTTGCCGGGCCACAGACGCAGGCCATAGCGTAAGCAACGTCCAATCCAGCAGGCCGTCTCCAGGGCCATAAGATAAGCTGCATGGTAAGCGCCCTCCAGGAGCCACCAGGGGCATGGGCACGCCCCAAGTGCGACGAGGAGAAGGGCCGGAATGGTAGCCCAGTGGCGACAGTGACAAATCAGCCCAACAGGGGGGATGGTCGTCAACCTGCCGCGCATGCGACCCAGGGCGGGGGCAGCACCGTCAGAAGCCAACAGCCCGATGAGGGCTAGCGCGGACGTGCCAGGAACCAATTCCTGTGGGGGGACAACGAAGCCTGGGACGGCCGTACGATCTGGTAGGGTGCAGCTGACAGCCGCAGAAGATCGTGAAAAGGTCCGCCTGAGACATATTGCTGCGCTTGCAATGGACAGCCTGAGTCACCCCGCTGCCCAAAACAAATCCGAACGTCAGCCGCAAGATGGAGGGGGGTCACTCCACCTGCGGGGCCGGTTCGCTGGTAGGGTGCAGCTGACAGCCGCAGCAAGATGGGAATTGTTCTGGTAGGGTGCAGCTGACAGCCGCAGAAAGATGGTGAAAGAGTCCGCCTGAGACATATTGCTGCGCTAGCATTGGGCAGCCTGGGTCACCCCGCTGTCCAGTACGACCCAACACGTCCGCCGCAGGATGGAGGGGGGTCACTCCACCTGCGGTGCCGGTTCGCTGGTAGGGTGCAGCTGACAGCCGCAGCAAGATGGGAATTGTTCTGGTAGGGTGCAGCTGACAGCTGCAGAAAGATGCGTAGGGCTCGCCTGAGACATTGCCGCGCTGACATTGGGCACAGCCACCGCACTGGTCCAATGGAATCCAACCGTCAGCCGCAGCGGTACCGAATCGCTGGTAGGGTGCAGCTGACAGCCGCAGCAGGATGGGAAATGTACTGGTAGGGTGCAGTTGACAGCCGCAGAAGGGTTGAGTAGGGTACGCCGGAGACAACTGCTGCGCTGGCATTGGGCACAGT